TTCCTAATAACTATCCAAAGAATCAGTTATCTGCAGAAAAATACAGGCAGGGCCTTTTTATCTGTGGTGAAGAAGTAATTGACTAATAGTGTGGGGCCTAAGACTTTTTATATTTTGATATTTCCTAATTTTAAAAATTGGACGATTTGTATAAAAGAGACATGAAATTGGATCACATAAGAAAGTAGTAATGGAAGATGTGGAGCATCATAGGCTTGTTTAATGTTCTTACCATCTCAGTCATGACCCTTGTTTAATTTTTTACCATCTTTGTCAAATCATAGTCCTTCTCGTGGCATGTGTGCACACCTGTTGTAGTTTATGTACTTGCATCTTAAGTTATTCCATGTTAAAAATTGTAGGCTCTCTTTTTCAGGTACACGTGATTCTTGGAGAATGTTAACACCAAAGCATCACGATCTTATTCTTAACTTTTTATACAGCAGTATTATATTCCCCACCTGTAATGCTTGAATGTGTTATTTTATGCTTATATTCAATTATATACTGCAGCCGAGTTAGGAGGCCTTTGTGTAAAAGTAGAAATCAATATCCTTTCCTGTTATATGTAACAGGTATTCACAGCTGAGTATCCTATAATATGTAAAATCTCCGGGTACAAAAAGCCTTACATCAGCTTCATGGATGGCATCACAATGGGCTTTGGAATTGGTTTATCTGGTCATGGTCGTTACAAGGTTATTACAGAGGTAGTTCTCTACCCTTATGGAGAATTACTCGTTTTAGCAAGTAACATCTTATTTACACTTCTTATTTTTCTATAGAGGACTGTTCTAGCGATGCCAGAAAATGGAATTGGGTTGTTTCCAGATGTCGGTTTTTCCTATATAGCGGCACATGGTCCTGGAGAAGGCATAGTTGGTATATTTTCTTATACTCAGTTGAGTGTTTCTTGCTGAGCAAATTCCAATAACGCTATCTTGGTGCATGAAAAATTATGAAAAAGAGAAATAAAAGATGGAAACTCATATAACTGGGGCATAGTTCTCTCTCCTCTCTAATAGCTTAAGTTTGGTAATTGAGCTCTGTGATCTGGGGATGGAAGATTACAGAAAGTATTGAAGACTATCTAGCACTTGCAGAGCCAGGATTTCAGTAACGAGTTTCAAAATATGAAAGTTAAACATACAAAGAAGCCAAAGGGGGTTCAACATCTACATTTACATTAAAGATAATTTTAATCTTATATAAGTAATGTAATTTTCCATGTAAGAGTGCTAAAATGAACCCCCTAGGCCCTAGCTGGCTCCATCCCTGATATCTAGATGCTAAAGTCAGCAAGAGAAGCATGCTTGCATCAGTGTCTGTATGTTATTGAATGCTATCGATTGGGCTTCTAAAATTTGGAGGTAGGAATTATGATCAACATTTCAGAACTTTCTAAGGTGTTTGAGGTGATTTCCTTCTTTGATGAATTTTAGAAATATGATAGTTTTTTGATCTGTAACTGAGGAGCCTTTCAGGTAGTCTTTTGATCTGTAAGTGAGGAGCCTTTCAGGTGTTTGATTGATAAAAGAACACTTATTAACACCCTAATTGCACTTCATGCATTTTACTTTTCAATGTTGTCAAAACCATGCTTTAAGAGCGATTATGAGCTGAAGTGTGGTGCAAAACACGTTAAGCGCTTAGCCTCACTTAATGTGCGATTATGAGCTGAAGTGTGGTGCAAAACATGTCATCATCAAGTCTCTATATCATACTTTTTCTTTCTACTGAGCATCTCCCGAAGAGATGACACTAAATAGTTTGATATTTCACTTTATTGTAATTTCTTTATCCGAATTTATTTGTACATATGTTTGCTGTTCATGCTTATTATTATTAGTCTTGGACTAAACATACATTTTTATATTTCTTTTTTCTCCATTCCGCCATTTTTCATCAAAGGAGATACTTTATTCATGCTTAAAACGCCACTGGGCCTTAGAGCTTTATTGTGTTTTCCGCTTTTGATAAAACTGCAGCTGTTGTTCATAAACACATCCCTTTCATGTTCACAAAGCAATTATTGTTTTATTTCTGAAGAACATGGACATTAGCTCTCTGTTTGTACATTACCTGGTGTGGATCCTCTTACTAAACGTTCAAGACTAACACAATATTAGGACTATGACGGTTGATTGTGATTTTAGTGAATGTACTCTTGAGTTATCTGATTTAAGTGATAACCAAAATGAGGTCATCCGTGCAAGCGCTGATGAAGTAGATCTGTGGTTGCAGACAAATGTTACACTTATATTTGTCAATGGCTAAGCATGATCCTGAACCATGGGGAAAACCTCTTGAGAAGCAATAGTGACTAAGAGGATGTTTGACTAGACTTAAAAGCTGGTTAAACTGGCTTATAAGCACTGTTAAGCTTTATCTACGCATTTGGTAAACACCGAAGTATTTATAAGCTCTTATTAAAAGCAAAATGTGCAAAAAAGCTCTAAGATATATTGGCTTTTAAGCACAAACCACAAATAAAGTGTGGACTTCGATGAAAAAAGGCAGAAAGGGATAAAAGTACAAATATATGTGTATTGTCCAAGACTAATAATTATAAGCACGAGCAACAAATATATGATCAAAGAAATTGAATGTTTTAGGATAAGTGAAATATTAATAGTTTAGTGCCACCTCTGTAGAAGAGTCTCATTGACAAGGAACAATATGCCTTAGCGCCTTGATGGCGATACTAAAGTGCACATTAAGCGAGGGAAAGCGCTCAACACTTTTTGAGTCTCGCTTTAGTGCTTAAGCTCACCTTTAATAACACTGCTTATAAGTCAGGCGTTAATAAGCCAAAATTAGCTTAAGACTATAAGTTGTTTATCCCCAATTTCTGATTTTTTTTTAGCTTATAAGTACTTTTGGTTTGACCAAGTATTTTATAATTTTATCCTTCGTATGTTTTCTATTTCTCAAAATATCTTTCCCAAAACAGAACTCTCAACTTGCTATTCACTTTGTGTCAGTTGTTTTTTCTTTTCTTTACAAGGATACTTTTAAATTAATAATATTTTGAAATTTTTTTAAGGATATTTTAGTTGTTGTAACAAAAGAACAACTTAACACTTTTTTCACTAAACACATTAACTGTTTATTAGCAGTTTCAACATTTCTATCACAATAAATTACAGCTTGTTTATAAAATTAGTTTAATAAAATAATTTGACTTCTCTTTCATATAGAGGGTAGTGGAAGAAAATCATTGATAATAATGGAAAAATTGGTTTGATACTCAAAGTTAAAATTGAAAGTTCTTATATCAATTGAAACTAATAAAAGATCTGAAAGTTTATAGGATAATATTATTAATAACAATCCTGGCAGACATTTTAGAATCATACAATATGCAAAAATAGAAAGAGTGTCGTATAAGTTGTTACAAAGGGAGTAAAATTTTAAAATGGGTAAAGATGCCAAGTGAGACCTCTCACTTTTCTGCTAATATCTTATCCATATTTTGTTGGCGTGAGATACTGATTTACAATGTATGTGTGGTGTTATTGTTGAACTTTCTTCTCCACTCCTTTCCTATCTATGTGTTTAATCAATTCAGCTATTGCAGGTGCTTATCTTGGATTGACTGGAAGTAGGATATCAACACCTGCTGATGCTCTCTATGTTGGTCTGGGAACTCATTATGTCCCTTCTGCAAATTTGGGCACATTGAAGGAAGCTTTGCTTGCCACTAAATTGTAGGTCCCAATATTATTCTTTTAGTAACGTGAAGCTCATGCACTAAATGTCAATTTTTTTTAATCAATTACTAAGATCCATGAGACATGCACAGCTCCTTGCCCTTTTGAGTCTCTTTATCTGTGCATGTTAAGACTATCTGTGTCCACATTCCTTAAGGTTGTGCCTTTTCTCTTCAAATCCTTTAATGGCTTGGCTCTGGGGGAAGAGATTCCCCAAGTTGGGTAAACTTTTGTTCCTATGTTTGAAACTTTTTTAGTGCTTATGTTGCTATATTCTAATCAACACTTCATGAGGTACATCTGGTCTTCAGCATTCTTCTTCAGAATATAGTTTCTTATGCCAGTGTGTATTATGTTACTGATACAAATCAATTCAGTAATATATTTCAACTTTGAAATAAGTTGTCTGTTTTGTTAAAACAGCTCCGAGGATCCAGATGAGGAGATAAAACAACTGTTGACGAAATACAGCAGCAACCCTAATTCAGAACCCCGTTTGAAGTCACTTTTACCCAGAATAATTTCTACTTTTGCTGGTGACAAGTCCATTAGGGAGATACTAGAAGAGCTAGAACATCATCAGCAAAGCACTGATACATTGGGTAAGGTTTAGCAGTAAGAGCTTATTTGGATTGACTTATTTTAAGTGTTTTAAAGTCAAACTAGCTTTTAAACGCTTTTGGAATGTTTGGGTGATTTTGAAAAATGCTTATGAGCATTTGATTTGGAGCTAAAATGATAAAAATAAGCCAAAAGCCATAAGTTAGAATTATAAGTCAAAAGTCAATTAAGCTCTAAGACTTTAATTTTAAAAAGGCTTAGCAGTAAGACTTTTCTGCATAGATGAGTTCATGTGCTCTCTTTTTTATACCATGTGTGTATCACGTTAATTAATAATAAATGTATGTAAAAATAACAAATTATTATGTGTATGTTATATTATTGAGAATACAAAATTTTAAAAAATAACATAAAATTTTTTACAATAAAAAGTTTACTTAAAGAGGAACATGATAATTCATCACTACCACGTTAATAATTGAGTATTAAAATCAAATGTAGTGGATATAATTTCGCCATTAATATCAAAAGTCAAAATTATATTGGTATTGATTAAGAGTTACTTTATTTAATTTTTAATAAAATTAAATATCCAAGGACAGAAGTCAAAATTTGTCATGTATCAGAACCAAAGTCAGAAATTATGTCGCAAAATTTCAATTAATTTAAATTTACTTTTACTTATTATAAATTTTAAATGAAGATTCATAGAATAAATACTATATAATTTTAGTTGATTTAAAAGTTTATAACTATTAAAAGTTTTTACATAAATATTAGGATAATATAAATGACAATTATTTGAAGAAAATAGTAAAATGTCATTTTTGTTTTTGGTAATTCTTTTTAATAAATTATAAAATGTTCATGCTTTTAATATATTTTGGAAGATATGCATTATCAAGAAAAAATATAATTTGGAAGATATAGATTAATTTCTCCATAAATGAGTCGCATATGTGATTTAGTTGAAAACGGCATGCTTTGTTTACATTTTCATGTGAGAGTTAATTTTGTTGACAGTGGCAGAATGGGCAAGGGATGCTCTGCAAGGGCTTAGTAAGGGGGCCCCTTTTTCTCTCCGTCTCACCCAAAAGCTCTTCTCTAAGGTAGCATCTGCACGTGGCGAAACTAACAACGACTTGTCCAGGGTGAGCTTATGTTGTGTTTCTTCCTCTAAAAGTTTTTTGATCTTCTGGTTTTTCACTAATGATTAAATTTTGTCATCTTTAACACTCAGCTCACTGGTGTCATGAGAACTGAATATCGCATTGCTTTAAGGTCCGCTCTACGGAGCGACTTTGCTGAAGGTGTCCGAGCAGTCTTAGTGGACAAGGATCAGGTTTGTTATGACTGCATAAATGTTTCTAGTTTCTGCACAAGAAAATGTCATGGTCCTCCCATTGTAATTGTTACCCACCTTATGTTATTAGGTAATTTCAGATGAAGTGTCTGCTTTCAAAAATCAGACTCATATAATTGAAATTTTAACCAATTTTACATGCAATGCAAATATCTATGACTAAAATCCGCCCGCATTAAAAAATTAAAGGGTACTACATATGTTTGTTAGATTTGTTGTTCTGACAAATTGATGACCAAGATTTGTTTTTATGGTATATGGAACCTATGTTTCAAATTTAAACTAATCTGGAGTAGCTTTGGGTGTTGAATCAGACACAACTGAATTTTAGCCACTTTAACATGTGTTACATGACTGAAGAGAAGACATACCTGAAAAAAATTCAAAGATTGTTAAATAAGTTTGTTAGACTGATTGTTGTTATTGACAAATTGATTATTGTTGTATGTTCTATATGATATATAAAATTTATATTTCAAATTTGAACATATTTAGAAAAGATTTGAGTGTTGAATTATTGAAATTCGAATAATAAAAAAAATCAGATGCACATGACTAAAATTTTTAGCCAATTTTTATTGCACTTCAGTTAAAAATGTTTTGCATTGTTTTCAAAATGGGTAAACTTGCAAAAAAAAAAAGTGAAGATAAAGACACAAGTTAAATAGAAACTCTAAAAGCGAGTATTTGTGAACTTAAACCATTTCATAAGTGTAGTGTATTTTCCTTGGTAAAGATTAGAATTTGAGTTTAGTTAATAGCCGAAACAATCAGTAGATGCTTAAGACTTGTGAGGCACTATTTATGATTTCAAGACACAATATCTGCTACTCCTCAGTCCTCACAACTATCTTAAACCGTGAGTTCTCTTACTATTATGGAATTGATCACCAAGCAAGATCGGGTAATTAGAATCAATACCAAACTGATCATTTTCTTTTCCTTTTTCTCTAAAATGTTGATGAAATAAAAGAACTCCTTGTTCCATTGTCCCAAATTGCTTCTTTCAAGCTTTAATTTTTCCTTTAAGTTCCTCCTTGGGTAACTTTATTATTCTCCATTAGGGCTCCTAACTTACTTTGTGGGAGTTTCATCTTTATGTCCCCTTTGGGCCTTGGCCCACCACTTTCTTATATTGTTAGGAGTCGTTTGGTGTGAAGGTATAATAATCTCATGGATGAAATAATGTATGTGAACAAAACAGTGAGCTTTCAAGCTCATTACTCCATTGAGGCACTTAGAGAGAGAGCTAAAGCATGAAGAAGAGAAGAAGGAAATTATTGTATTGATCTATCTTAGCTCACATGTTACATGTTTCACTGCTTATATAACATCAGAAGCAAGGAAAAAAAAATATCTACTAACTTATTTTTTAGCACAGTAATCGAGTCAACAAACTTCTAATTTGGAAGTTACAAAAAACAGAACTTCTAACTAACTTTTGAATTGTTAGTTATTATAACTAACTAATGCTTATTAACTACTTTTAACACGCCCCCTCAAGCTGATGAGTGCATAACATTGATCACTCCAAGCTTACCTAAAAGATGCACATGTTGAGCTTGACTCAATCCTTTTGTCAATATGTCTGCAAGTTGTTGTTGTGTGTGTATATAAGCAGTGTCAACCTCACCTGCTTTGATTTTATCCCTGATAAAATGGCAATCTATCTCAATGTGTTTTGTTCTTTCATGTAACACTGGATTAGCTGCTAACTGTATAGTTGATTTGCTGTCACTGAAGATAGTAATAGGTAACTGAACATCCACTCCTAATTTTTTGAACAAGCCTAGAAGCCATGTGATTTCTGAGACTGCTGATGCCATAATTCTGTACTCAGCTTCAGCTGAGCTTCTTGAAACAGTCTGTTGTTTCTTTGATTTCCAAGAAACTAAGGACTCTCCAAACTTAATGACATATCCTGTGATGGATCTTCTTGTGTTAGGACAAGCAGCCCAATTAGAGTCACACCAACAAGTAAGTATGTTAGTAGGTTCAGAATGTAACCAAACACCTTGACCAACTAATCCTTTCAAATATCTAATCACTCTAGTAGCTGCCTCCATATGTGATTTCTTGGGAGATTGCATGAACTGGCTGAGAGTTTGCACTGCATAACTTATATCTGGTCTGGTGATAGTAGAATACTACAATTTACCAATCAATTTTTGATATGAAGTAATGTCATGCAGCACAACATCTGCACTATAGCCATTTGCTTGATCATGTTGTACTGAAGTCAACCTCAAATTGGACTCCATTGGTGTGGATGCAGGTTTGGCACCAGTCAGGCCTGCATAAGCAATAACTTCCAATATATATTTTCTTTGATTAAAAATAATTCCTTCAGAGGATCTCAATACTTCAATGCCTAAGAAGAACTTAAGTTCACCTAGATCTTTCAATTTGAATTGTCTGTGTAGACATGCCTTAACTTCAGTGATGAATTGTGTGTTACTTCCTGTGATCAGTAGATCATCTACATAGACTAGAACAATGACAATATCTTCCCCTTTTTTAAGTGTGAATAATGAGTAATCATGAGCACTCTGTTTAAAACCTGTGGCTTGTAATGCCTTTGTAAGTTTCAGGTTCCATTGTCTTGATGCTTGTTTAAGTCCATACAAGAACTTGAGTAACTTGCATACTTTGTTTTCACCTGGTTTTGCAAAACCTTCAGGCATCTCCATATGGACCTCTTCATCTAAATCACCGTGCAAGAAAGCATTATAGACATCCATATGGTATAATATCCAGCCTTTTGATACTGCTAACGCAATGACACATCTGACTGTTACCATCTTGGCAACTGGAGAAAAAGTGTCATGATAATCCAATCCTTCTTGTTGACTGTATCCTTTTGCCACGAGTCTTGCTTTAAACCTCTCTATCTCACCATTTGCCTTGTATTCTACTTTATATATCCATTTAGAACCAACTGCATTCATGCCTTCTGGTAAGTCAACCACTAGCCAGGTATTGTTTTCTTCAAGAGCTTTGATTTCCTGCTGCATAGCTTGTATCCATCTTTCATCTTTTGCAGCCTGACTAAAATTCTTAGGTTCCACATATTCTGAAAGTTTACTTAAAAACTTCTGCACTCAGGTTTTAATGTTTCATAATTCAGAGAATTAGCCATAGGATTTTTGGTGCTACTATGTTTCTTAGTAATGGCATAATCTTTCATCCAAATTGGCTCTTTGATGCTTCTTGAAGTTCTTCGAATATGAGAGTCAATGTGTGATGGTATTGCATGAATATTTTCAGAAACTTCCTCTGTTGGACTAGGTTCAGGCATCTGATCTACTGAAGAATTCTCAATCTCAACATTCTGATTATCTTTATTGACTGTGATAGTATCTGCAGGCTCCCTATTATCTTCATTATCAATCTCATCTTCAACAACTTGACTTTCTGCTTTCTTTAAAGGTGAACCATGCACAGCAACTAAGGAATCAAGTTGAGGTACCACTTTAACAAATGGAAAAACTTCTTCATGAAAGATCACATCTCTATTCACATACACCTTAGTAGAATGAATGTCCAATAATATATAACCTTTCTGTAGCTCTGAATACCCTAAGAGAATAGCAGCATTAGCTCTTGCTAAAAACTTATCCCCTCTAGGCACTGTTGTAGCATAGCAAAGACAACCTATGACTCTTAGTAGGGACTCTTGTTAGAAATAGCTGATGAAGGTAATCTATTCATTAAGTACACTGCAGCCTTAATGCAATAACCCCAAAATCTGATAGGTAAGTGAGCTTGAAATCTGATAGCTCTGGCAATATTAAGGATGTGTCTGTGCTTTCTCTCAACCACACCATTTTGTTGTGGTGTGTGAGGACAACTACTTTGATGCAATATTCCTAGATGATTGAACAAATCTCTACATTGTGAATTAAGAAACTGTGTGCCATTGTCAGATCTCACAACTTTGACATGAGAATTAAACTGAGTTTTGATCATTGAAAAGAAATTTTTGATAGCCACAATGGTTTCAGATTTTAACTGCAACAAATGAACCCACAAATCTACTGTAGTCATTCACTACTGTCAAGAAGTAATGCTTTCTATCTAGAGTAGGGGTCTTATAAGGTTCCCATAGATCCATATGAACAACATCAAACATCATGGATGCTCTTGTAGTACTAATAGGAAAAGTAAGTCTAGTTTGCTTGGCTAAAGGACAAACAGGACAATGTGTATATACTTCATCACTTTTATTTCTTGTAGCTAATTTGAGATGTCTCAATATTTGTTGAGATGGATGTCCTAACCTTCTGTGCCATATATTTGTGTCCTGTATTGTAGCTCCTGCAGCTACTATTTCCTGAGCACACCTTATTTCCTCCTTCTGTTTAGATGTAAAGTCAGCCTTAAAACTGTATAATCCTCCTTCTTCTCTACCAATCCCCTTCACCCTGCCACTGCAGAGGTCCTGAAACACACAAAAGTCAGGATAAAATGATACAAAACAGTTTAGTTCCCTTGTAATCTTTGACACAGATAACAAACTGAACTTGAAATCTGGTACATGCAAGACACTTCTAGCCACTTCACTATCAAATATTGGTGTTTCACCAATATGACTAACTGTAACCTTGTCACCTGTTGGAAGATGCACTTGATTCTTTTGTGACTTGGTTAATTCATGTCTCCTAGTCATTAACTGTTTGTTTGCAATGATATGATGAGTTGCACCTGAGTCAACAATCCAATCTTGAATAATAGGATTTGTCATTAAGCAAGTTGTAATACCTGCCATATTGACTTGTTTTGTCTCTTGCACATCCCTGTTTAGCATCTCCACTATATGTTTGTATTCCTTCTCAGTAAATGTTTGTCCCTTTGGCACCTTTAGCAGGTTATTGTTTTCGACCTGACTAGTTGATGCAGTATTAGGATGATCACAGTGATCATTAGAGATGTTGTTTGCAGACTGATATCCTCTTCCATATCAACCAGTATTTCTTGAACTTTGTCCTCCATAGCCATTGAATTGATTTGTGCTTGTACCATTTCTCATATATCCATTCCCATTTCCATAGCCTGGTTTCTTCCTTTGTTTCCAGTCACTTGGATAGCCAATCAACTTGTAGCAGTTATCCTTGGTGTGACCAAGGAAATGACAGTAATCACACTTCTTCCCGTTGTAGTGTTCCTTTCTAGTTCCCTGATTTCTGTTTATACTCATCACCATTGAACTTGGCTTTTCAACTGCATTAGCCAATAACTTGAGTGTTGAGTCTCATCCTCTATAATCATAGCATAAGCTTGATTCATAGATGGTGTAGTTCCTTTAAGTAGTATATGTCTGCGAGCCTGATCATATGAATCATTTAGGCCACTCAGAAATTGAATTAATTTCATTTGCTCCAGATGATCATTATATTCCTTTGATTGAGGACAAGTACCACATGGATTTGGAACTATAGCATCATATTCATTCCACACTGTTTTTAATTTTGAGAAGTAATGAGATACAGTATCTGTACCTTGTGAAAGAGTGGTGATATCTCTATGCAATTGATAGATTCTTACTCGATTTACCTTGTGAAAGAGTGGTGATATCGCATTGCAAGTTTCCCATTGCTCATGCAATTCTTCTTTGTACAAAGCTCTAGTACACGCACCAGTTACAAAACCATACTTTCTCTTCCCAAGTCGTGCAATCCTCATCGCCCTACTCCAAACTCCATAATTCTCAGATGCAATCAATTTAATTGGAATCAATACAGCACTTGAACTGTCTGAATTTCCAATGAATAAAGGATCATTTTGATCGATCTTCACTCCCACCATTTCTGCAGATCTTTAAGCTACAGATTTTCACCAACTAGTAGAGATCTAAACTCAACTAATTCCACATGCTACTTTGCTCTATACCATGAACAAAACAGTGAGCTTTCAAGCTCATTACTCCATTGAAGCACTTAGAGAGAGAGCTAAAGCATGAAGAAGAGAAGAAGGAAATTATTGTATTGATCTATCTTAGCTCACATGTTACATGTATCACTGCTTATATAACATCAGAAGCAAGGGAAAAAAATATCTACTAACTAATTTTTCAGCACACTAATCGAGGCAACAAACTACTAATTTGGAAGTTACAAAAAACAGAACTTCTAACTAACTTTTGAATTGTTAGTTATTATAACTAACTAATACTTATTAACTACTTTTAACAGTATGCATTTGGTTAGAGGTATTAGGTAGTCTTTAAATATTTATCCCTCCATTTTTACCATAGTGATGGGATAAGTTATCCCATATATATGGTGGGATAACTTATCCCGGAATAACTTATTCCCAACCAAACGACAGTAACTTTTTTTTTTGGGCTTCTTACATAACTATACAGGTGACAATTTGTTTTCCAATAAATTGACTGTAAATGTAATGTATCTGTTAGACCTGCTGTAACTAAGGTCTAAGAAGAATGAAAATAAGGCCTAAATATTACTATAACTGTTTTATTTAGTTATTACTATGTATATGTATTTTATTACTGCTTTATTTAATTATTACTATGTATAGGTAGTTCTAGCAGTTACTTAGCAGTTAGCCAGTTACATAGAAGTCAAGATAGTTATTAAGGAAGACAGACAGTTTTTTTCTGGAGGATTTAGGATCTGGTTCTGCAGACTGGCGGGTAAGGTACCTTGAATACCTTGCTTGTTGGGTGAATTTATCTTTGTTTATCTATTTGTAAATTTGTTCTATTAGTTGGTGGAGATATGGAGATATATATATATATATATATATCAGTGTAAAGTATTGTTATTTTCCTGTTGTGTTTGGAAAGTTACTGCATAAGGTTGGAGGTTTTTGGGTTCCTAACAAATTTGGCATCAGAGCTTTTATGGTTTCAACTAGAATGGAAGGGAGGATTGAAGGGTTAGAGAAGACAATGACCGAAGTACAAGAGGAGATTGGTTCAGTACGTGATTACCTAGGGCAATTACGAGACTGGATGCACAAAAAAGATGAACGTGATGTTGAAATTCTTCAACATGTGAAAGGAAAATCAGCAGTTCAGACAGATCCAATTATGGATACAGATAATGGTAGAGAACAGCAACAATCACAAAGGTGATGGATTTTGCGAAGAAGTTCAACAAAAAATTCATGACAAAATGCGTCCGAGAAGGCTGGAACTGCATTTATTTTCTGGTGATAATCCATATGGATGGCTTAACAGAGCGGAGCGTTATTTTCATTTTAATGCTATTGACGACAAAGATAAATTGGAAGCAACTGTTGTGTGCCTTGAAGGTAGGGCACCAAATTGGTTCCAATGGTGGGAGACGAGAACTCCGATTGGCACATGGGATGTGTTTCGAGTAGCCATAATCTAGCGATTTACTCCATCACAGTCAGGAAACTTATATGAGGTTTTGTTAGGGTTGCAACAAACTGGAAGTGTGGCCCAATACAGAGAAGATTTTGAATTACTTTCAGCGCCTCTGAAAGATGCCAATGATGAGGTTTTGATGGAAATTTTTATAAATGGCTTGAGAGAAGAGATCAAAGCAGAATTGGTCTTAGCAAGCTAGGAACTCTAACCTAGATTATGGACCAAATCCAACGTATTGAAGAGAAGAATTGGGCTCTCAGTCAAGCCCACTTACCAAAACATATGTGTATATCGCTTTCTAGGGGCTCAGTGCATTTTCCAAGTGATTGACAATAGCCATACAGTAAGTGCTACCAGTTCCCAAGTACGTGGAGTAATAACACCTTTCATTCTGCCCGTACAACAGTTACAACGATACCACGACATTTTCAAGAACAGAAGCAAGGAGAGAATGTGCAACCAAGAGCTGAAATTTCTGCAAGGAGAGGAGGAGCATTCAAAAGGCTATCTGATGCATGGTATCAGAATAAATTGAGGAAAGGACTTTGTTTTCGCTGCGATGAAAATATGGCCCTAATCACCGGTGCAATTCAAAACAATTCAATGTTCTTATTAATAGCAGCAGCAGAGAACGACGAAGATGGAGGCATTGAAGTGACTTTGGATGAGATAATCAACACAGAGATGGATCAATAAAATGTTCAAGGACAACCAGAGTCACAAAAGTTAATAGAGTTGTCTTTGTACTCTATAGCAGGATTTACCACAAAGAAGTCCTTGAAGGTATGGGGAACAGTACAAGGAAAGAAAGTTATTGTGTTGATTGATAGCAGTGCATCAACAAATTTTATATCTTGCGCATAGCTGAAGCATTAAGGTTAAAGCAAACAGAGACTAAGTCGTTTGTGGTGGAAGTGGGGAATGGACAAAAAGTAAAGAGTAGGGGAAGATGCAACAAAGTGGAATTGTGGATTGATAAATTGCGGATAAGACAGGATTATCTCCTTTTTAATTTGGGCATTGCTGATGTGGTGCTAGGATTAGAGTGGCTGGAAACCTTGGGTGATATTCAAGCTAATTTCAGAACCTTGACATTCAAATTTGAAGTAGAAGGGCAAACACAAGTTGTTCGAGGAGACCCCTCGTTGTCAAAATCAGTACCTTCACTCAAAACATTAATAAGGCCTTGCAGGGAGATGGAGTAGGATATTTTGTTGATCTGAATGAATTAACTACAGGGGAAGAACAAGAGAATTTGTATTTGCAACAACTATTGGAAGAATTTGGAGCTTTATTTGAGGAGCTCATACGGTTGCCACCCAATAGGAGTCATGACCATGTTATACGACTTAAAAAGGAATCTGATCCACCTAATATTCATCCATATCATTATCCACATTACCAAAAAAATGAGATTGAGCGAACAGTACAAGAAATGTTAGTAGTTGGTATCATCCAACCAAGTATTAGTCCTTTTTCTAGTGCATTGTTGCTAGTTCGCAAAAAAGATGGTAGTTGGCGATTTTGGTGGATTATTGGGCCCTTAATAAGATAATTGTTCCTGATATGTTTCCAATTCCAGCAATCGATGAATTACTAGATGAGCTTGGGGGTGCAACTATATTTTTTAAATTGGATCTACGATCACGGTACCATCAAATTCAGCTTTTCGTACACATGAAGGCCACTATGAGTTTTTGGTCATGCCATTTGGGTTGTCTAATGCACCATCTACTTTTCAAGACTTGATGAATGAGATATATCAGCCCTACTTACGTAAGTTTGTATTGGTCTTTTTCGATGATATATTAGTTTATAGCACAATTTTTTCTTCTAACATGGATCATTTGCGGGAGGTGCTACAAATTCTAAAATTTCATAACTTGGTTGTCAATTGAAAAAAATGTCATTTTGGTCAACAACAACTTGAGTATTTGGGTCATATTATTTCAGCAAGTGGAGTCGCGGTGGATCCTGCCAAAGTAACAAGTATGGTTAATTGGCCAAGTTCAAAAGATGTTAAAGGCTTGAGGGATTTTCGGGACTCGCTGATTACTATAGAAAGCTCGTTCGTGGCCACTCACACAATTGCTCAAGAAAGATGCTTTTCGCTGGAATGAAGAAGTTCAACTAGCTTTTGATTCACTTAAGGAAGCTATGATCACTTTGCCGGTCTTAGCACTACCAGATTTTAACAAGGTGTTTGTGGTTGAGACAGATGCCTCAGGATTAGGGACTGGAGTTGTCCTAATGCAAGGGACATCCTATCGCTTTTCTTAGCCAAGGACTTCCAATTCGGGCTCAGTCTAAATCAGTATATGAGAGGGAGTTAATGGCTATAGTGTTTTGCTGTCCAAAAGTGGTGTCATTTTTTGATGGGTCGACTTTTCATTATACAAACAGATCAACGAAGTCTCCAATTTCTCATGGACCAGCATGTTATGGCAAAAGAGCAACAAAAATGGATCACCAAGTTGATGGGATTGTATTTTGAGATTCAATATTGACCTTGTTGTGAAAATAAGGCAGCTGATGCCTTGTCCCGCCAATTTCATTTCATGGTCTTTTCTGTTTTACGCAGCAGTACCTTAGATGATCTTTACACCGAAGTTCAATAAGACGACCAAATCCGTCAGTTGACATAGGATTTGCTCCAGGTTCCAACTTCACGATTGAATTATGCTCTAAAAAATGGCTGCATATATTTCAAAAGTCGGTTGGTGATTCCTCGGTCGTCATTATACATTCCTATGCTCCTTAGGGAATTCCACTCTCACCTACGGGTGGTCACTCTGGGTTTTTTCGTACATACAAGCGCATTTCACAAGTCTTATATTGGAATGGGATCAAAAGGGATGTACAAAACTTTGTGGCTGGTTGTGAAAATTGCAAGCAGAATAAGTATGAAGCTCTTAGTCGTGTTGGCTTGCTGCAGCCATTACCTATTCCTACTTAAGTTTGGGATGATATTGCTATGGATTTCAGCGGGTTGCCAAAAGCAATGGGACATGATACTATACTAGTTGTGGTGGACCGTTTCACTAAATATAGTCATTTTCTTCTCTTATTTCACCCATTTACAGCAAATATATGGGTGAATTGTTTGTTCGTGAGATTGTACGCTTGCATGGGTTCCCCAAATCTATTGTATTTGACCAAGATCGAGTTTTTATCAGCCAATTTTGGCAAGACTTATTCAAGTTGTCTGGTACTAAACTCAAATTGAGCTCAGGATATCACCCTCAAACAGATGGTCAAACTGAGGTTGTTAATCGACCCGTGGAGACCTTTTTGCGCTGTTTTGTAGGAACACATCCAAAACAATGGCCAAAATAGATTTCTTGGGCTGAATTTTGGTTCAATACCACTTACCATGGTTCCACCAAGATGACTCCTTTCAAAGCTTTATATTGACGAGATCCTCCCTCCTTGTTGCAGTTCACTGAAGAAATTTCTGCTGTTGAAGAGGTTAACCAGCAGCTTGCTGCTTGCAACATCATTCTAGATGAACTCCAAGCTAATTTGACCCATACTCAAGCTCAAAAGAAAATATATGTTGATGCTAAGCGTCGTGAAGTTGTGTTCCAACCTGGTGATTTGGTTTATCTTCGATTGCAACCTTTCAAGCTTCATTCACTTGCTAAAAAGGACAATGAGAAGTTAAGTCCTCGATACTATGGGCCATATACTGTCTTGAGCAAAACTGGTGAAATCTCTTATCGCCTTGATTTACCCTCTCATTCACGGGTGCATCCCGTATACCATGTTTCTTGGCTAAAGCGTGCTGTGAAGGATTCGATTCTAGTTCAACAACTCCCTGCTTTGCTGTCTGAAGATCTTGAAATGCTAATACAACCTGAAAGTGTGATAGATTGTCGGACACTTCTGAATGGCTTCCACGAGGTTCTGATTAAGTGGAAGGATTTGCCTGACTTTGAGAGCACTTGGGAACCCTATGAAGTTATTGATGCTCAATTTCCTCATTTCACCTTGAGGACAAGGTGAAACTCGTTGGGGCGGGTATTGTTAGACCTATTGTAACTAAGGTCTATAGACGCAGGAAGAAGAATGAAAATAAGGCCTAAATATTACTATTACTGTTTTATTAGTTATTACTATGTATATGTATTTTATTACTGCTTTATTTAATTATTACTATGTATAGTTAGTTTTAGAAGTTACTTCGCAGTTCGCCAGTTACATAGAAGGCAAGATAGTTATTAAGGAAGACTGAATTTATTCTAGAGAATTTAGGATTTGGTTCTGCAGACTTGGAGGGTAAGGTACCTCGAAATACCTTGGTTGTTGGGTGAATTTATCTTGTTTATCTATTTGTAAATTTGTTCTATATATATATATATCAGTGTAAAATATTGTTATTTTCCTGTTGTGTTTGGAAATTTACAGCATAAGGTTGGAGAGTTTTTGGGTTCTTAACAGTATCTATATTGTATAGATGGTAATTTTCAATGTATGTATGTGTGTGTGTTTATATAATATTCATACATTGCAACAATTCATTTTCCTCAATGAGCTGCTTTTTATGTCTAATATCGACTAATTTAAATCTTGTATAAACAATCTCAAATTTTACATATGAACTCTCTTGATATTTTGAGTCTTTGATATATTATTCACTCTCAAATTTGAATGTATTGGCAGTGATAATACAGGTATACTTAACCATAAACATGAATGTAATAGTAATTAACTATACTTAAATCCCTGAATACAAGACAACTAATGAAATGAAAAAATGCAAATTTGACCACTTCAGCTAAGAATTGAAG